ACATTCTGGAAATACACTTTGCAATTTTCAGGTGGTTTGGCTTGGGCGTCGCGCGCAACCTTAACGAATCAACACCAGGGTTGAACTCGTCTCGTCTCAGTTGATTTCTGCCCAAACGGCACTGTCAGAGGCTTTTAAAAACACTTGTTTCAAAGCATTGAACTTTTCCAAGCTGTTTCCACCGATGTTGACTCTGCACCCTTCTTTTCTCCTCTTCTGCCTTCAGGCCTTGCACCAAAACCTGGAGAATCTGAAACCCAAGATGAGGGGCAGCAAAGTTGATCGAAAAGGTAGGGAAGCTCCAGTGACCTCCACAGTTAGAGAAAGTTCCGGTTCCAAACAAGTTCACACTTTGCCGCCTTGCTGCCTGCTGTTCTAATTTTGGGGGAAGACTGACACAAGACTTAGACTGGAACCGACTGAGAGGCTTATTTGTTTTACTCGCAACGAGGAGCTGTGAAAGCCAGATCTGGCTTCCCGTGTGTGAAAAAAACGCCACAACTGGGCCCAAAAATGGCTCCTAAACTTGGGTTCCAATTTGAGGCTCCAACCTGGGTGGCCTTGTATGTTCACACAGGAAATCCAAAATCTAGGTCCGTTTTCGGTGCCCAGAATTGAGCTGCTTTTGGAACCCATTTTAGTTCAATAATAATTGAAAATCAACTCACAGACAAACAAGATTTTTTCTATTCGATACTGTTTGCATCAACACTCAAGAAAACAAAAAAACGCGGTTGATACGCGTGTTCTTATCTTGCTAAACTTGTCTTTAGCTGGCATTCAAGACAACAGTCTTGCATTGTTCCCGTGCGATCTTTCTCGCACTGTGGAGGTCACTTCGGCTTGCCCACCTTTTGGAGTTGATTCCTTGCCCTCTTTTTGTGTCTCCAAAACCACACACCTTTCACCACCCGCACACTTCCACACTTGAACAGCCAGCAGAACCCAGACAGACACGCAAACACACACCACCCACTGAAGCCACTTTGCACCTCATAATGACACACTTCATGACACACACGACTCTCTGCCAAAACGCCGAAACCACAACACCACACACCCATTCGAGAAAACGATGTAAACACACACACACACACACACACACACACAGATTTCGTTTTTGGTTGCGTGTTGCAATTCTTCCCTGGATTCAGCACCATTCAACGAATTTGTCAAAATTTCTGAAGTCCCGAAAATGTTGAAAAAACCCTCAAAATCAACACTTGATCAGTTAAATTTGTTGAATTTACTCTGGTGTTTCGCTCGCTTCGCTCGCACTTATTCACATTCTGGAAATACACTTTGCAATTTTCAGGTGGTTTGGCTTGGGCGTCGCGCGCAACCTTAACGAATCAACACCAGGGTTGAACTCGTCTCGTCCCGCAGTTGATTTCTGTCCAAACGGCACTGTCAGAGGCTTCTAAAAACACTTGTTTCAAAGCATTGAACTTTTCCAAGCTGTTTCCACCGATGTTGACTCTGCACCCTTCTTTTCTCCTCTTCTGCCTTCAGGCCTTGCACCAAAACCTGGAGAATCTGAAACCCAAGATGAGGGGCAGCAAAGTTGATCGAAAAGGTAGGAAAGCTCCAGTGACCTCCACAGTAACAGCAAGAACTATGAAGGTAAGACCGGCCCAGGCACTCCATCCGTTCCGACAAGTTGCATCAACCAGCCTCCATGGTGGTCAGCCACTGGAAACTCACAAGTGAGCACTGCACCAGCCCAGGGCTCCATGGTGGTCAGCTGGTGGGGCACGCAAGCCGTTATGAGAGCGAAACAGTGAAAGAAATACTAAAGAAATGTGCTGAAAAAAAACAAACGGTAATCATCTGAAATCTTGTTGTCGCCAAATAAACACAAGAGAAATACTAAAGAAATGTACTGGCCAAAACAAAAGAAACTGTTGTCACATAGTACGGAGCAGTCCAACCCTCCCCCCCCGGCCCTTTAAGCCCCTCAGCCTTGCCTGTGCCCCTCAAGCCTTACACCCTTTTCAGCCTCCCCTCAAGTCCACTCCAAGCTCCCGCACCTGGCCCCCTTCAGCTTCCCTCGCCCCTCCCTTCAGCCCCCTCTCTGAACGTCCCTTAAGAGCACCCCGTGTAAGAGCACCGCATGTAAGCCCTTCAGGCAACTCATCATACAAGAACAGTCCCCCCAAAACCCCGCTGCTTCTCTGTGCGAAAATGTCATAGAAACAGAGTCTCCCCAAAACCTGCTGCTTCTCTGCGAAAATTCTCATAGAAGCACAGTCCCAACAAAAACCTGCTTCTCTGTACGAAAAATCTCATAGAAGCACAGTCCCCCCAAAACCCAGCTGCTTCTCTGTGCGAAAACTCTCATAAAAGCACCGTCCCCCCAAAACCCGCTGCTTCTCTGTAAACCCAAAACCCTAAACCCAAACCCTTTACTTCACCATGATGTCCAACAATGTTAATGCCGCGCCGCCAGAATATACTTTGTCTATTTGGAATGCCCGGTGTTTTGCAATAAAGTTTAAAACGCGGCCCAACTTCTTCTGACTTGGATGCGGGCATGTTCTTCCGACTTGAAATGCCTCTGCCAGTTCACTTGGCAAGCAGATTGTGGGAGACTGTGCTTCTATAAGAATTTTTCACACAGAGAAGCAGCGGGGTTTTTTTTTGAGGCCTATAAGCGTTTTCGCGCAGAAAAGCAGCGAGGCTTTGGGGGACTGTGCTCCATGAGAATTTTAGCACAGCGAAGCAGCGGGGTTTTGGGGGGACTTTGCTTATCACAGCAGCGGGGTTTTGGGGAGACTGTGCTTCTATGAGAAATTTCGCACAGGGAAGCAGAGTTTTAGGGTTAGGGTGGTTTGGGGTTTAGAGTTTTTAGGGTTTTAGGTTTGGGGCTTTTGGGGTGACCATGTCAAACTCAAAGACGCCGATAACGATTCGATGCAATTCGAAAAGGTTGAATGGCCGTATTAGCCACTTACAAGACACGCGATCCGACGGAAAGGATGCGTGTTCTACGAAGCAGAAGTTGGAACCGCTCTCTAGGACCTGCTCGTGACTGAGATCTGTTGCGGTGCAGCAGGTCTGAGTTGGGCATCATCGGCTAGGTTTCCAGACGCTTCCAGTTGTGAACACTGTCCCCAAAAAGCTGCGCTCTGGCATGCGTGTTGCAGTCATTGATCTCACCGATTCACTCGAGTGCCTGATGCGCCTTCCGAGTCTGCTCGCATCGCCCTGATCTGGTGCGGGGTGCCGTGCGGGACTGATAGTCGGGCTCGTGGCCGAGCTTTGCCCCAGTTGGTGCGGGCGCTAGCGTGTGCCGCAGCTCTTGCGCTCCGACGCAGAACCGGACGGTAGATGGTTTAGTTGGGTTGGATAAACTCAAAACTGAGGTGACTTGTAAACAACTGATGCTCCAAATTTACCAACACCAACACCACAGACCTGCCAAAGCTTTGCTGCGGAAGTCACCTGAGCCTTTGCCTTTTTGCATTCACCATCCCAGCCAAACACACACTCACACCACCACTGCCTGTAAATTAGGCTCTCTGCTTTCCGCTTAATTTTTGCTGTCTCTTTTTTTTTTTGGGACCATACCTTCTCTTTCTTTTCAAAATTGTCTTTAAACCAAACTTTGAAAGGTCTCTGCCAGCAAAAGGTCTTATTACCAACCTTTAAAAAATCAGAAACAGGCAAGATAAAACAAATCTTCAAGAAAATATCTTCTAAAAGGGCCGCGCAGGTGTTTTGCTTGCTGCGCTTAACTTGTTGGCTTGACTTGTGCGGCTTCTGTAAGCCGGTCCTTGTCTGCTACTAGAAGGCTTAAGGCTCAGCACAAACACATTATATTATAAATATTTTCCTTTTTTGATAAGTCACACCAAAAGTTAGAGAACAACAAGAAAAGAAAAGAGTATTCAAAGAGAATAGTAGAACGTTCGGAATTCCATAATAACGCCTCCAAGTTACTAATGAAGAAACGTATACATGATACATCTTTGTTTAATATGCTAGAGAGTTACAAAACAAACTTTACTCTGAATAGAATGGGGTACTTTAGTTTCCAGTATACAGACAGAATGATGGAAACAGTCACATACAGACCATGCTACGAAGATGATGTTATAAGTGTGGTTAAAACATACTTGTGACAGACATAGAACATCAAATACACTTGCGGAGAACATATTTTGACCTTCCTACAATACACATGTATATAGCAGATCACAAGCTATGACGATCATAATATTATTAATGATGTTCATAATACTATGATCGTTAAACGCTTTTTGTTATAACTTGATTTTTTATATCGTTTTTTATTTGGTTTGACGGTTTCTTATTTTTTATTGTTTTTGCCAGTATTTGTGTGGTTTTTACATGTATAAGTATTTCTGTAGGTTTTTGACACATAAGGCGTTCAATATTAGTTAGAGTTTTGTTTTAAGGGGTTTTAGGATGCAATAAAGGAGAACAGAAACCCACAAACCAACCCGGTGCTTGACCCAAGTGCTTACGAGCTATGTGTATTTGAACCCCGGTGTAGTCCCTATAGTTTCGACCACAATGTGGCGCCACATTTTCTGTAGTAAGTGGTAGTGCAACGAGTTCACCTGAGATACACTGCAGTGTGGATGTAAGGTGATGCGGTCAGGTTCACCGGCAATATCGCGACGCAGACGCAACCTTCCGGGTCCAAGACTTCCTTTCCACGCTAAAGGATCCAACAAATCAGGTCTATGAGGCAGTCACGCGTCTGCTGCTGGTAGCGCTGCGACTTCGTGTTCGTTGTGTGCTGGAGAACCCTTTCCACTCGCACTACTGGAACACGAGTTTTTTCAAGGCCATAACTGCTTTTGTCCTGGTTTTTGGGTTGAATATCATGCATGCAGCATGGAGGCTCTGGGCCTAAGCATCAGGCTTTGTGGTCCTCTACTGACTTCCTGGCTCCCTTGCGTGCTTTGTGTCCAGGGGAGTCTTGGGGTGTTTTGCAGGCCGAGAAGAGAAGTGCATCGGTAGGTGTTCGAATGGAGGTGCAACCAGACCTTCTTCACCCTGACTCCCTTGTTGAGGTTCTTAGGTTTGGTTTTCCCTTGGACCCCGCTGCCTTTGTGAAGAAGGCCATCTCAGTTGGTCATCCCTTTGACTTCAAAGCTGATTTACCGCCCGCTTTGAGACAGGTCGTTTGCAAAAATGTCAGAGGCAGCGACTACAGCCTTGCTAAGCGTCGCTTGCAATTTGTTGCAAAGTGGTCAGCTAGAGCGAAGGCTCTGGAAGAAAAGGAGAAGCAATTGCACGAGTCTCTGCCGAAGCATGTGCGTGATACCTTGAAAGGCAAGCGTTTGCTGCTGTGGCAAGAGATGATCCAAGAGTACGACCTGCCGGACAAGAACCTGATCAGCGATATGCAAGAGGGCTTTAAGCTTAGTGGCTGGCTCCCAACCTCGGGGGCATTCCCTTTGCAATCTAGGAGGCCTGAGTATTCCTTGGAAACACTAAAGCTCTTGGCAGCAGGTCTCAATCGTGTCACACTTGAGAAAGCCGAGAAGAGACAAGAGGATGCGTTGGAGTCTCTTACGTGGGAAGAAACGCTAGCGGAAGAGGATTCGTCTTGGATCTGGAGGTGCAACGAAGATGATCTGGACTCCAAAGTTGTCGCTCGCAGGTTCGGGATCCGACAGGGTCTCAAGATTCGCGTCATCGATGACTGCACTGCATGCGGCCTCAATAACACTGTTGGACTGACCGAGCGCATGGTGATTCATTCAATAGACTTTATGGCCTCTTTGCTTTCGCACGCCGTACGAGAGGCTGACCCTTCTTGCGGCCCCTTGTGTGGCAGGACGTTTGACTTGAAAAGTGCATATAAGCAGTTCGCTATATCCACTGCCGACCGTGAGTTGTTGAGGTTAGTCGTGAATGTGGCAGGCTCCAAGGAGCGCGCCATTTTCGGCTTCAACTCTTTACCTTTTGGTGCGGTCGGCTCAGTGGCAGCATTCTTAAGGGTCAGCATGTCTGTGTGGCAGATAGGAGTTTTGGGGGCGCGTCTGCTGTGGACGTCGTTCTTCGACGACTTCAGTGTAGTCAGCAAAGCATCCTTGGTTAAGAACGCGGGCTTCGTGGTGGAAAGCTTGTTCTCCCTGTTGGGACTCTCTTTTGCGAGGGAAGGGAAGAAGGCTCCGCCATTTTCTCAACTGTTCCGCATGTTGGGGCTTGAAGTGGACCTGTCGGGCTTCGAGCAGAGAGTCGTCAAGATAGGGCACACTGAAGAGAGGAAGATTGAGCTTCAGCATTTCATTCAGCAGATCAAACTCGACCAATCACTGGACTTGAAGACGGCTGAACGGTTGAGAGGGAGGATGAACTTCTTCGAGGGCCATTGTTTTGGGCGAGGACCAGCTCAAGCCTTACGCACTCTGGATTTTCAGGCGAGATCAGGTGCCTTGTGCAAAGGGCTGTCAAACGCAGCTGTGGATGCCCTCGACACCCTGTCAGAGTGCATCTCGTCAGCCTCCCCGCTTGAGATTTCTGTCAGATGCTTGAGAACGTGGTACTTGTTCACCGATGGCGAGTGCGATGCTAAGGCTGGGACTGGAGGCGTGGGCGGGATCCTTTACGATGAGGATGGCAAGCTCGTGGAAGCTTTCGGGGCCCCCGTTCCTTCGCACTTGATGCAAGATCTTTTGAGGACCTCGGCCAATCCCATTTATGAGTTGGAAATCCTTCCAGTTTTGCTTGCGTACCGGCTATGGTACAGACTGCTCGCCAACGCTCAAGTGGTGTGCTACCTGGACAATGATGCTGCCCGCTATGCTCTTATCAGATCCTGTGGGTCTACAGCTCACGCAGCTGATGCGGTGAGGGAGGTGAGGTCCTTGGAAATGAGTTGCAACATGAGAGTGTGGTTCGCAAGAGTTCCCACTGCTAGCAACCCTGCGGATGCTCCGAGTAAGCCTCCGGCTCAAATTTGTTTGTAGCGTGAGTCGGGAGGGGGGGAGGGGGTAGTGTGTTTTTGTGCCTCTCTTCACACAAGTGAGAGAGGACGTAGTTTTCATGCCATGGATTGGCTCGGTGCTGAGCCACAGCACCAAACTTGCTTGGAAAGTTCCAAGAAGGAGAGAGAGGTTTTTGAGAGGGAAACATGCAAAGTGGGAACGTCAGTGCATAACAAGATGCATGCTTGTTTGGATGTGTGTCCTGCTGACAATGTGGGAGACCCTGCCAGAGCATCAAACGGCCCCAGCGCACTGGGAAAGCCGATACCGGGACACCACGCAAGGGCCCCGGTCAGCAAACGCCACCTTAGAGATCAACTGGTCCGTGCAGCACTCGCAGCCTCCCAAGCAGTCTTCGATAGAATACATGACAATGGCTGCAGAGATCTGCACGCAATGGATCCGCGACGCACCTCCAGCAGGGGCCCCAGTAGCCGTGCAAGATCCGAGTCCAGCTAGACATAATGCCAAGCCACTCGGTACCTCCCGATCGGTGCGCGTGTTGTGTACACTGCCTGAACAACATGCGGCCCCCGAACAGGGGGAAGGCCGATGCAAGGACGCCACGCATACCCCTCTGTCAGCAAACACCACCTGAGGGATCAACTGGCCTGTGCAGCACTCGCAGCCTCCCGAACAGACCCTGGAAGCCTGGCTGACAGCGGATGCAGAGATCTGTCCACAGTGGATCCGTGTTGCACCTCCGGTCGGGACCTCAACGCCTGCACGGTCGTTTGGTCTTGCTCGACACGAAGTCATGATCATAGGTGCTGAACAGTCTGTGAGAGTGATGTGTATACCATGCTGGCATGCGGGATGGGCTGCTACTTACATGTCCTTCACTGTGCATAGCTGCAGTCGGTCTGATGTAGGTGAGAGCATGAGCCATCCGAGAGAGTGCAGTTGTCAGTCCAATAGCATTAGGGCACTCCAGACGCTGCCTGATGCAGGGGAGCCGCTTTCGGCCCCACCACATGCAGACCTCCGCTCCAGGGCAGGACACTCAATTTGCAGTCTGCCTGCACCACATATTTCATCAGTGCGTACAGAGCCGCCAGTATGCAATGCCTGCATGAGCATCTCCACCTCCAGACCTCGGGCTCAAATGAGGCAAACCACGAGAGCCGAGAGAGGTCTCCCTCCTAGGGAGCACCCTCGCTCGCACTACCGAGCAGATGGTCACCATCGCAGAACGGCCACGGAGCTGAGGCAAAGGGGCTGGCAGTCGTGGGAAGGCCACAATGAGTGGCGACATGGAGCGACGGAGTCGACAGGGTGGTGGCATGGCTGGAATTCGTGGACCGAGCGTACCGAATGGCACTCTGAGGAGGCGGAATCGCAGGGCGACGGACAGCCAGGCACCGTCAGTGATGGCCCCTCATCTTCCTCGGCTCAGGCTGTGAAGATCCAGGCCCAAGACCAAGGAGAGCCACACATGGAGGAGGCCGATGTGCCGGTCCCTGCAATTAATCCAGTCGTGGACGGCACCGCACCTGACATGATGAACGAGGTACGGACCCCGACAGCTGACCCGGTGGCATCGGAGACAACAACGGACGAGGAGGAGCTAATCCCAGCAAAAGAGCATGCCGCTGTGCAGCATGCCGCTATACAGTGTGGCCCGGTCACGTGTGACCAGGCCACACAGACAAGCGACAACGAGAGGCCAGGAAAGGCTGCACCTGGCAACTACACACCTCAGGGGCTGCCGCTGCAGAGCGTCGCAATGAAGGCGGATGAGCATCCGATTGAGGAGACAAGCGGTGAGGTCTGTGGTACACGAAGAGGAGGCGACGCACGTGGTGCGGTCAGGAGGGCCCAAACAATCGGCCCCGAGAGGGTGCCGCCGCACCAGGGACTAAATGCTGCGGCAAGGCTACGCCTGGGCAAAGCAAAGCAGCTTCTGGGCGAGCTCTTGCCTAGCAACCCGGGGGCGAGCCTCACGGCCTTCCAGATGCAGGGACACTACAAGTTCAGGCACGACCTATACCACAAAGCTCAGCAGGGTGAAGCCTACGACATCCGGGGCCAGCACATCGACAGCCCGCTCCTCACGGATAACGTCGGTCGTTGGATATGGTCACTGGTTGGTGCCCTGCTGACGCATGACAAGCTCGGACAGGTGCAGAGCTGGCAAACAGGAGGAGATCTCGTTGAATCCTGGATGCACTCCCTATGGACGACACAGGGTCAGGCTGAGCTAGACATCCTTGCCGGCGTTTCCCGCCTCGCCAGCCACTTGCACGATGGGCTGCAAAATTTGCCCCGAGCACTGTATCTCCAGCTGCAGTGGAAGACGCATTGGCCAGAGTTTTTTCAGGCGCTCATGCCATACCTGTATGTGGCAAGGACCTTTATGTTCTATTTGGCGCAGGGCTCTGTTTACCTTTATCCCATACTTAAATCGATACATATATATGTATATATACATACTTATGTACCATTTGGCTTTTGCTCTTGGTTACCAAATAATTTGCATATACCTTTACTTGACATGTCCGTTATCATACTTCAGAGCTTTCGTTTTCTCTCCGTGCACGATTGCCCAGGCCGAGATACCAGACATACCGCCCATAAAAGAAAAGAAGAGAGAAAGAGAGAAAGAGAGAGAGAGAGAGAGAGAGAGAGAGAGAGAGAGAGAGAGAGAGAGAGAGAGAGAGAGAGAGAGAGAGAGAGAGAGAGAGAGAGGAGAGAGAGAGAGAGAGAGAGAGAGAGAGAGAGAGAGAAGAGAGAGAGAGAGAGAGAGGGAAAGAGAGCGAGAGAGGGAGAGAGAGAGAGAGAGAGAGAGAGAGAGAAAGAGAGAGAGAGAGAGAGCGAGAGCGAGAGCGAGAGAGACAGAGAGCGAGAGAGAGAGAGAGAGACAGAGAGAGACAGAGAGAGACAGAGAGATAGAATGAGCGTGAGAGTGACAATGAGAGTGAGAGGGGCACAGAAAGAGAAAGAGAAAGAGAAAGAGAAAGAGAAAGAGAAAAATAAAGAGAAAAGAGAAAGAGGAAAGGGAAACATAAAGAGAAAGAGCGAGAGAGAGACAGAGAGAGAGAGAGAGAGAGAGAGAGACAGAGAGAGAGAGAGAGAGAGAGAGAGAGAGAGAAAGGGAGGGAGGGAGAGGGTGAGAGGTGAAAAGAAAGAACGTATGCCTAAGCTGAATGAAAAAGAAGAAGTCCCTTTTTCCTCTGCGTTCCCACTTATCGCTTCCATTCCTATTCTTCTCTTAGTGTAGGGCATGGCACGAGGGAGGGGGTGAAAGCGGATGAGTGAAAGCGGCATAGGCGGGGCGAAATCGTCCTTTCGCTACTTTCTTCGCCCTTCTTTTGCTTTCTCATTTGAGAAGGGTGCGGAAAGGAGGGAAGGGTAGGGCGGAAAGGAGGGAAGGGTAGGGCGTGGAATGATGCGAGGGAAGGCAAAAGGGGACAAGAGAAAGTGAAAGTGTGAGAGAGAGAGACAGAAGAACAAAAATCGCGCGAGAAAGAGAACATGGGAGACGAGGAAGGCTTCAGCAGAGAAAGCGAGAGAGCCACGAGTATGGCCCTATCCCATCCCAGTGTTATTGTATCTCAGGGGCCTCCGGGCCTCGCGGAGCCTGTAGGGGGCCTGCAGGGGCATCCAGAATTTTCTGGAAGCAACGGGCGTCCAACCCTTCCCCAGCCTGCCATGTGACATTGTGTCCTCCTCCCCTCCTGTTCCCTTCCTCACCCCCCTTCCCATACCCTTAAAAGACAAGAAAAGGAACGAAGAGAGCGAGAGAGTCTTTCATTCTTGCTCTTCCTGCTTCCACTTCCTCCTCAGTAAGAAACAATCAGATAAAGACAGGAGGAGGGGAAAGCCAACAGGCAGCAAAAGGCTGTTTTTTGTACTGACTTCCTCCTTCATTCACTTCATTGCTTCTCTCTTCTTCTCTATGTTTCTCTGTTTCTCGCTCTGTCTCCCTTCTCCGTCTGCGCTTATTCTTTCTGTATATTTATAGTTTCCCCATTCTTCTCACCTACATCCGTCCTTATGAACGTTTCGTTGCAGGTGTGCTCCTCACTGCCTATTTCTAAAGCCCTTTGCCATACGTCTGTTTCTCAGGAGCCTACAGGCGTTTCCAATGAGAGGCTTTCCAGAGAGAGCTTCAAATCGGGAAGAGGGGCGAGAGAGGAAGACGCTTTCTACCCCTTTCGAATTTAAGAACAAAAAAAGAGTAAGGTAGACGGAACAAGGAGAACCCCTCTTTCTTTCTTGTCGTTCCCGTCTCCTCTCTTATCCTTGACCTACGTCTTGGAGGGGCTAGGAGAAATGGGGCACGGGATGGGGAGGAGCAAGCGGGAGGAGAATGAAGAGGAGAAGAGACAGGAAGGGGAGAGCGGGCGAGAGAGAGGGAGAGAGACTTTGAGAATGATACGATTAAAAAACGCAACAAGCGAAAATGAATGGTGGACAGAAAGGGAGTGGAGAAAGGGACGGTCTGAGTCTTTGGGGTCACTCTGAAAACAGCTTGGAGAGGACAGCTGCTTCTCTCTCCTTTTTTCTGTTTCTCTCTCTCTTGCTCCGCGTCTGTCGTTCTCCTTCCCTCGTTCTGTCAGTGATTTACACTCCTTTTCAATATCCGCCAGGGCCTGCAGTTTTCGCAGGGGGCTGCACCGAGGGGTTCCCTAAAAGGGCCTCCCAGGGGTTTGAGAGAAGATGGGACTGTGAGGAAGGCCCTGTCCTCCCATTTCCAAGAAGAGAACATTCATTTGCGTCGCTTTTATTATATTATTATTCTCTTCACAGTGTTCTTTCATCCTCGGTTTCGTTCATTTAATATTTAATTTCACGCGATCGCTTATTTCATGCGCTCACTTGAAATTTAATATTAAATTCTCTTCATATTATATTATTCCTCTCTTGTCAGTACCTTCACTCTTCCTTCTCACCCTTGACGTTCTGCTTCCATTTCCCTCTTGAAGGAGAACTCCTGCTCCTCTCTTGTCAGTACCTTTGTTCTTTCATTCACTGTTGAATGGCGCGTAAAAAAAAACGGGAGGAGCGGGGAGGAAAGAGGAAAGAGCAAGAAGGAAGCAGGGAAGAGAAAGGAAGGAAGGAAGGAAGGAAGGCAGGAAGGAAGGAAGGAAGGAAGGAGGGAGAGAGGGTCAGAAAGAGAGAGAGAGGAAAAAAAAAAAAAAGACAGGAAAGAGAGAGAGGGAGGGAGAGAGAGAGAGAGAGAGAGAGAGAAAGAGAGAGAAAGAGAGAGAAAGAGAAAGAGAAAGAGAAAGAGAGGGAGAGAGAAACGATGAATAAAAGAAACACGCCGACCTATTTAACGTGTTTTGATTCTTTTAGAGGCTCCATAATGTAAACATTTTGAATATTTCAATTCAGCTGTTTATTTGTTATTTGGAAGGCTCAAGATATCAACATTTCGTAGAACACTTTAACTGAACGATGTAAACGGTTTCAGTTATGACATTACTTCAAACTGTTCAGTTTAGCGTGGAGACCTAAGACATCAAACAATGATATTTTTTACATCATGATATTCCTGCAGCCTGTTAAATATTTCAAACGATTGAAAAGTAAGAATTCAACAAAGTTAACGAACGCTTTTGTTTTGCAAACCTTCATGTGCCATCATTTTTAACGAAGGTCCGATTTGAAGCCTGATATGTCCTCAACATGTCAAAAGCGAAAAGCGTTTTTCCCTCAACCTGGTGCGCCTGTAACGTCAAACGTCAGTTTTTCTGTAAACCCTAGTGTGTCCTCAACCTCAACAACGAAAGGGTTCTTGTACACCTTGGTGTGCCCTCATCCTCAAAAACAGCCTTAAGACCAACAAGTTTTTGACCCCTCGAGGGGCCCAGCCTTAAGAAAAAAAAACTGTTTGACCCCTCGAGGGGCCCAGCCTTAAAACCCAGAACGTTTTGACCCATCGAAGGGCCCAGCCTTAAGACCAACAACTGTTTGACCCATCGAGGGGCCCAGCCTAAGACCAAAAACTTTCCGTAAGACCAAATACTCTTTGACGCCTTGGGGGGGCCCAGCCTTAAGACCCCGAACGTTTTGACCCTTGGAGGGGCCCAGCCGTAAGACCAAGAACTTTTTGACCCCTCGAGGGGCCCAGCCTTAAGACCAAGAACGCTTTGACCCCTCGAAGGGCCCATCCTTAAGACCAAAAACTTTTTGACCCCTCGAGGGGCCCAGCCTGAAGACCAAAAACTTTTTGACCCCTCGAGGGGCCCAGTCCTAAGACCCCAGGGGCCCAGCCTTAAGACCAACAACTTTTTGCCTTAAGACCAAATACTCTTGACCTCTCGAGGCTCTAGGGGCCGAGCCTTAAGACGAAAAAGTTGTTTGACCCCTCGAGGGGCCCAGCCTTAAGACCAAAAACTGTTTGACCCCTCGAGAAGCCCAGCCTTAAAACCCAGAACGCTTTCACCCCTCGAAGGGCCCAGCCTTAAGACCAACAACTGTTTGACCCCTCGATGGGGCCCAGCCTTAAGACCAAGAACTTTTGGACCCCTCGAGGGGCCCAGCCTTAAGACCAAGAACTTTCGACCTCTCGAGGGGCCCAGCCTTAAAACCCAGAACGCTTTGACCCCTCGAAGGGCCCAGCCTCAAGACCAACAACTTTTTGACCCCTCGAGGGGCCCAGCCTTAAAAACCAGAACGCTTTGACCCCTCGAGGGGCCCTGCCTTAAGACCCCAGGGGCCCAGCCTTAAGACCAAAAACTTGTTGCCTTAAGACCAAATACTCTTTGACCCCTCGAGGGGCCCAGCCTTAAGACGAAGAAGATGTTTGACCCCTCGAGGGTCCCAGCCTTAAGACCAAGAACGCTTTGACCCCTCGAGGGGCCCAGCCTTAAAACCCAGAACGCTTTGACCCCTCGAAGGGCCCAGCCTTAAGACCAACAGCTGTTTGACCCCTCCAGAACCCAGCCTTAAGACCAAACATTTTTGACCCCTCGAGGGGCCCAGCCTTAAGACCAAGTACTTTTTGACCTCTCGAGGGGCCCAGCCTTCAGACCCAGAACGTTTTGACCCCTCGAAGACTGGCAAGAGCAATAACTCAAACATTCCTATCGCAGACGTACGCTTGCACAATTTGCTTAAAACACCAAATTAATCACAACGGAAAGGTTTTCTGTAAACCCTGGCGTGCCCGTTACTTTAAAGCGAAGTTTTTTGCAAACCCTAGCAAAGGTCATTGGTAAACCATAGGGTGCCCTCAACTTCAAAAACGAAAGATCCATTCAAGTACTAAAAGCCGTAAAATCCTTAAACTTTAGAAAATACTCAGCAGAGAAGAAGGCAAGGATTTTTCAATGATAAAAGGGGTCCCGGGGTCTCAGGGTTTAGGGGGTAGCCACTTAGGCGCTTAGGAGCTTAGGAGCTTAGGGTTTAGGGTTTAGGGGTTAGTGTTTAGGCGCTCAGGAGCTTAAGAGGTTTAGGGTTTAGGGTTTAAGGGATTAGGGGGTAGGCGCCTAGGCGCTTAGGAGCTTAGGAGCCTAGGTTTTAGGGTTTAAGGTTTAAGGGTTTTGGGGCGCTTAGGCGCTCAGGAGCTTAGGAGTTTATGGTTTAGGGTTGAGGGTTGAAGGGTTTAGGGGGGGCAGGCGCTTAGA